TTTATAAAAAAACAACCTTTAATCTCAACAAATTATTCACATACATTTCCATTACAATGACTGTTTAACTACAAATAAGCCTTTTATCTGTGGTCTGTTATCTAACATAGCCACTTTTGAGATACATAATTTAGAAGGATTTCCTAGCTAGCCAAGTTTTATATGTGTCACTTAATAGCAGAAATCAAACTATAACTAGAGAAATGAATTGAAATTAGATGGGGTTCTGGGAGTCCACGATATTGCCCTGAAGAAATACTCTATTTAGGGACAATATAAAAAGTTGTTTGTGTATTTGAACACTTATTTCCCCCCATTGATTTCTCCCCCAAGACTCTGAGATAGGGAAGCCTGTTTCTGAGATCCTCACTTGAAGAACGAGGTCAAGGACACATCACTGGCATGACCTTGTTTTAGATCTGTGGGATCTCTGACTTTTTTTTTTTTAGTAAAAACACAATTTGCCAGCCAGACTGGAAATGCTTTCTGTTTTTTTCATCAACAATCTTGGGCTCTCTCCCTGGAGGTCTTCTCTGTCAGACACTTTTTCTCTTTAACTCTGGTTCTTAGGTTCCTTATGTAAGTAAAGAACTAGTTAGGGACAAAGTCACTCTAGACAGAGGCTGTAATCGTGAGACCAGGCGGCAGCATTGTTTAGCTGATGGGCTTGTGTGGATGTGCGGGAAGGCGTGGTAATATGATCTAGTTCTGCAGCCCTGACCTGTTGTTCCAAAACAGCCTCCTTCCTCCTCCTCTTCGCGTCTGCATTCCAGCACCTCTCCTTCCATCTTTGTGGGTGTCAGGGCCCCTCACAGATTGATTTGACAGATGTGTAAGAAAGGAATGAAGCTCGCTCTAGCTAGAGCAACTTCTGCTGTTTATTCCCCCTCACAGATAGTTTTTTGAATACCCTTCTCCCCATCCTACTTGTATTATGGACAAATCATGGAGAACGTAACTGCTCTTGTCCAGCTCACTAAGAGAGTTTCCCGGGATTCAGATTGCCATCAGCCCATCAGGATGTCTTTCAGGTGTCTTCATCCCAAGTATTGCAGATACCTCAAACTAAAGATGTATAAAACTAAGATCACCGTCTCTGTTCTCTCCTCACCTCACCCCATCTCAGAAAACACCAACCCTTTGTCCTCCTTCAGTGGAAGGTAGCACCGTTCCTCCCTCCCCCAAATGGATGACGCCCAGTCCGCCTAGACTCTTGTATCTTTCTTATCTATTTCATGGAGTCCATCTCGTTTCTTTCCTAACCCTTCAATCTCTCTTTCCTCATTGTCGCTACCCCAGTTCAGGCTCTCATTATTTCTCCTCTGGATTTTGGAAACATCTGATGTTTTGCCTTTATTTTTATCCCAATTGTTTTGTTTATCCAGTGTTGTATATTAAATGAGACTCTGACCAATGAGGCCAATGAAATTTAAATCTCAGAGGTAGATGAAGATCATTATTTCTTATAAGCTCGGCAGGCTGTTGTAGTGTGTGGCGAGGAAGACAGGCCATATACAAGGTCTTCATGACCTTGGGCATCTGCTGCCACTTCTGCTTCTGACTTTATAATAAGTAACTACAAACTACTTGTGCTTCCTCTTACTTTCATGCTGTTGCATACCATCCCTTCTTTTTATGCCTTGGTCTGTGGGGGATTCGTGCATCAGAAATGTTCTGGAACTAAAGCACTGTTTCTGTGGAGTACCATATTATTTTATTCTCTATCTTGGTAGGTATTGAGTTGACTCATGAGAACCTCCAAAATTTGGGGCTTCTGTGCTTCTCTTTATCAACTCTCTTTTCCTTCTTGTTGTCCTCCTCACATCCACTCGCAAGTGCTAGCAATCTCTTATAATTAGGATGGTGTTATGTCAGAGTTTTTTGAAAAGCTTCTGTGTTCTGCCTGGAGGAAATCTGCCCCCGTGCTGTGCTATACCAGCCTTTACACATGAGATCCCCCCAAATGTAGGTCGTGTAGAAAGGTAGATGTGCAGTGTATAGAAGGCTTTTACATGTTGTATCTCAATTTGATCCTCACCACACCCCAGGGAGTAGACAGGGACCTATTACTTTTCCATTTTACAGATGTGGAGATGGAAGTTCATTGTATTTTTACCAACCTGACTTGTAGGGATACACTTGAGTCTCTACAGATTATATGTTGACAAAGTCCACAATGTACTGTGACCTGATTGAATTATGATTAGCTACTTACTACTAAAGGGGGTTGGGTGTAGTTTTTGTTCTTAGAAGCTTGTTGGTAAATCCATCATTTGAGCACACTTAATTGCAGAATAGTCACTCATTATTGTTTGTAAGCCTGATCACCTTGGAATTTTCCAGGCCCCATTTTTCACTTATGTAGTCCATCACCATCTTTTGGTCAGTTTGGTCCATGACACCTCTGTGAAAGAGAAGGGAAAATGTGTATGATTGGTTTTAGATGTTGATTTTTGAGGCCGGTACTGTGAGTTGCTTAAATTACCTGATTGAGTCTTGAAGATCCAAATGCATGTGTGGTTGGGCCTAATCCCAGTGCGAAAAGCAGTTCTCTTCAGTGAGAAGAAGGGAGAAGACTGCGAGTTCCTGTGTCGTGTCCATGCGTCATGTATACTAGCTCCTGTGACGGGCCACGGTGTTCCCCACGTCTTGTCTCCAATCTAGCAAGGCTCCTTGCTTTATTTATTTATTTCGGTCTAAAAGTGAGGTCCATCAGACTAGTTTATGAGACCATGGCTTTTATGAAAATAATCTTGCTCTTCTCGAGTTTAAAAACTAGAAGAAATTATAAACAATAAGTGACTGTTTTTGACTTCTGTCACTTTTGAACAGAGTCACACAATTAGAGCAAGTCGATGAGAATGAGGATTTCCCTTCTCCTGCCTAGAAGGAGCAAAAGATCGTTTTATTGAAAATAAATCTGTTGAGATGCATGTTGCTGGTATCTAATCAAGCTCTGGATTTGAGTTCAATCAGAGCTTTGATGAAAGAAAGGGGAACGGATACTTGAAAGAATGCTGTCCCATTCATAAAGCGCTTGCATGTTTTCAGTTTCCCAGTAAATGGAATAATGGCAGCACGCACTTTCCATCCAGGCATTTTCCACCGGGAGAATAATGCCCTTCCTGGTTTCTCAATGAATAATGCATTATTTCTGAAACTCAAGAGGCATTCCTTTCGTTTTCCTTTATGTTTAGCTTTCTTAGTGGTTTTCAAGCAAGGAAATTCAAGGACTGGTAATAAATGCTTTATTAACATTTTTACTTGAAGTTCAAATAGCTTCTTGGCTATTATCTCCTGATGTTTGAAATATTTTTTTTTCTCTCTCTCTAAGGAAAGCCTAAGGTGTATTTACTAGAAAATGAAGCACCTTGGACAACCTTCGAAGTGAATGGCCGTTTAAAACCAATACACATTTGTGTTTTAGAACAAAGTGCTTTAAGGGGGCACTTTACTTCTTTCTTTATTTTCATTTCTCTGCTGAAAAGGTTCAAAAAAGAAAGCTTACATTAAAAAAAACCTTGGGCTGTTTGGAGACTAAATCTTGTTTGTTTATATTTTGTGAAACTCATTCCTCGAGGCCAGTCCAAATCCACCACCCAAGTCCACCCAGGCCAGTGCCATTTAAATCTAAAGGTTCAAAAGCTCTTCTGGGATTACCTCTATTTGCTGTCTGTTCATTGTGTAGCCTGAGTGTACATGGGGGGGAGATGTAATGGGACATGGCAGTGTCTGCCGGTTCTCTCGGCTCATGTTCCGTCAGCGGAGGACCCCAGATCATCCTGGGGGAACACAGAGTAGATTTTAATGCTGTTTCACAACCATCATTCTCCCTGGGAGCCAGATAAGTGACTTCAGGAACTAAATAAGCTGGAATTAAAAATACAATATATATTTTCATTCCTTCTACAATTACAGTAAAATCTTAATGATTCAGAATAGTTGGGGAAGAAAGAAAACAAAATTGATCTAAATTTGTAAAACATAACATTTGGTTTAAAATAGTTAATTTTATTAATTTCAAGAAGTGGGAGTATAATAGTATTTTCTGAAGTGTGGACTCTGGATCTAGCCTGTAAAAGAAGAAACTCTGAGGTTTGTCTCCTGTCACTTTCCGGTACCATGGCCTTGAGCAAGTTATTTAGCTTTTCTGGGTCTCAGTTTCTTCACCTGCATGATGGGACAATACTTGCTATCTCACGGCTGTTGTGCAGATTAAATGAGTTCATATTTATAAAGCATATGAAAAATCACCATTTAAGTGATTGTTGAATAAAAATGAACATAAACAAACATCTTTTCATTAGACATTGCTATTTCCCAAGAGGCGCAGGCTACTGAGCAGATACTAACAATTTATTGTTGCTGTTGTTACTGCTAAAATATCCTGAGTGATTATTTTCTTAGCACTCACTTACTCCTTACAACAAATCTAATGAGACAAATATAGTCATTCCGTTTTTGCAGATGAGAAAAACTGAGGTATGAAAAGTAATTGGCTTAAGTTCACCCAGTTTATTTAATGACAAAACAAGGATTTGAACCTAGTCAATCTGAATCCAGAAACTGTGCCTTAACTACATATTAAAGGACATTTGTCATTGTCTTATCTTTTGCCCCAAAACAATCTCATGCTATTAAAAACCATACCTCTATAAGCATCAAAGTGTGTATCCTGAATGAAGTTCCTCATGTCTCAGTTGCTTGACAGCTCTGTTTTTCTCAAAGTAATCATCATCATCAGTGTCTCATACATACTCAATTTTAGTAGGGTCTGAATTAATGAGATTTTATTAAATTGATTATTTTATCATCACTAAAACTTTTCCTGATTATTTCAGAATACGAACATTTTATTTCAAATGGTGATCTGGTGGTTTTGAGTCTCAGTATTTTTATATTGAACTGAAATGATTTGACCTTATGTTTGCTTGCTTCATAATTATATATATATTTTTTCTCTTTTTTAAATCCTCCCACCCCTCTCCCTGTGCTCGTAGGTGCCTTTATCATCTGCTGGACTCCTGGACTGGTCTTGTTACTTCTTGATGTGTGCTGTCCACAGTGTGATGTTCTGGCCTATGAGAAATTCTTCCTTCTGCTTGCTGAGTTCAACTCTGCCATGAACCCCATCATCTACTCCTACCGTGACAAGGAGATGAGTGCCACCTTCAGACAGATCCTCTGCTGCCAGCGCAGCGAGAACACCAGTGGCCCCACGGAGGGCTCAGACCGCTCCGCTTCCTCCCTCAACCACACCATCCTGGCTGGCGTTCACAGCAATGACCACTCTGTGGTTTAGAAAGGAAACTCAGAGGAGAAGTCGGCCATCCTCTATTGAAGGATGGAGAGCCTCCCCCTACCCAAATGCCAGGGTGAGATGTGGGATGCGAGGAAAAAGAAACTCATGTACTTAAACACTAACCAATGACAGTATTTGTTCCTAGACCCAACAAGACTTGATACATGTTGAAAATTAGCTTATGTGACAACCCTCATCTGGATCCCTATTTCTTTTGAAAGTAGAAAGTGGAGCTCTTAGAATGGAATCCATAGACTCTGGAGTGTCCATTTAGATAGATACACTAACTAGACATCAAAAGATTTCATGTGCTTTGGTGCAAGTTGGAATAACTTCCGACTAATTGAATCCACAACTTCATTTACATACAGGCTTCCCTTTTTTTATTTTTAAAGGATACATTTCATTTAATAAACGTGTTTATGCCTATCAGTATGCTTGTGATGGATAAGACTATAGACTGTTTTTAAAATACCATAACTTCATTTTTTTCCTTATATAGGAAAACTGTAAATTAGAGTTATTTGTTTTTTTAGAAAGCATGCATGTAATGTATGTATGCAGTATACCTTACTTAAAATGATAAAAGGGTATTAATTTTAAATCTTCTAGGAAATAGGAGGACCTAGATGTCAAAGCCAGTATTTGTTTAGGTTATGAAACAAACAATGCTCTAATCACAATATTACCTTTTTATTGCAGTGTTGTAACACATATAAGACAGAAATGGGATGTAAGTTTATTACCAAAATAATATGTACTCTTAAAAAGTCATAGACGGTGAAGCTCAGTTATATTGTTGCCACATATTTATGATACCCAAGTACATTCTAATTATTAGTACATCGGAGCAATTTTTAAATAGCCTGTGTTTTTCTGTATTATGAAATAATACATAGTCATTGTAGAAAACTTGAAAAATTCAGAAATGTATAAAACAGAAAAAATAATTACTGATAATATCACAATCCAGAAGTAACCACCGTTAACAGCCCCCCCCCCACCCCCCGTGTATGCCTCTATGTATATTATATACCTTTTTATATAATTGGGATCATACTGTAAACAATTTTATAACCAGTTGTTGTTGTTGTTTTTTTCCACTACAGAATTGCCACAATTTCTTATGGCATTAAAAATTTTACAAAAACATAATTTTTAAGGCTATATAATGTTCCATTTAATGGATGCATTTCAGTTTATTTAACCATTTCCATATTGTTGACTACTTAGGTTATTTCTAATTTTCATTATTATAAATGATGTTGCAAAAATTTTGTGTACATAAGACTTTGTCCATATAATTGATTATTTACTTAGGCTATGTTCCCATGAAGGATTTTTTTTTTTAAATGTGAAATGTCTTTTTATGCTCATACCGTTTTATAAAAAGGGATTTCCTGCTTTGCACCTCATGGGTGACAATTGTGCGGAAAACCAGTTAAATTACCTTTTTACAAAGGAAGTTCAGTGCTTAGTTTAGAGTGACTTTTTTATATAACAAGATGGATTAGAAACAGTCAACTGTCACAAATATCCAGGATACCCTAATTACTCTGTCTAGCAATTCCAAATTTTGCTTGAGGGACCAGTTATTCAGCTCTTGGTAGCCACAACTATACTACAGAATTCAAGAAAATGCAAAGAAATCAAATATTCCAAGTAAACAGTGGATCTTTATATTAACTATCTTAGGACGCTTCTATAGCAAATTGATTGAGTGTTAGCATGTGACTGGATACTGTGTATTCTCTAAGAATCACCCCAGAGAGAATGCTACCACATCGGGTGATACTTGTTCAATTCATTGTTTAGGTAAACTAGTAATTGCACCATTTGTTGTTATAAGTAACCAATAAAGTCACAGTCATGAAGGTATGGGAAAGTCAGGCGTGGGTTTAAGAGAAAGATATGCAGAAGAATAGTCGTCTGGGGAGGAAGTCAGTGCATGGTCACCATTTGAACAGAGGGCTGACTTGTAAAGGGCCCAAAGTAAAAAGAATATGGGGAACCAGTTAGCAGAAAGGTGTTGGCACATACTTGATACAATATACAGAGCATTTTATATTGGAAGTAAAACAAATGAACTTGGGCTTTTAGTCATGTGCATGTGTTCCGAAGGAGATATGGACTATTTGAAATTAAAAACATACTAATTGGACCTTAATAAATCATTCTCAATCAGTGTTTGATAATGTGTGGTTCTGGTCCGTGCTATTTCTCTTGTTCAAGTCTTCAGCTTGCAACACATGGTGTCTTTTTGTGACCTCCTTTATTTTCCTGCCACAAGGACTTCTGAATGCTGAGGTGAAGTCACCAACATCTGCTTCCCCGGCTCAGAACTGCTGTTTTCAACCTGAGTAATAAGTCTTTCCAGTGTGCAATAGATGGTGGTGTATGTTTTATCCAAGGGCGATAACACCTTAGGACAGTGAGTTCCTTCAACGGTGTAACTGTTAGAGTAAGTTCCTTTTGGAAAAACTCTGATTTTATCAGACCTTTATGGTGGCTTATGAAAAACTCTCACTAGGGCTTTATAAAGTTACAGTGGTCTTTATGCGTATAGATTTAGTAACTAACAAGATAAAAATGATCGGTATCTTTCAGTTATATGCTAATTACATTCTTTCCAATATATTGCTAAGATGTTGGAAAAGGCATGTTTCATGAATGTTTGGAAGAGAATTCTGTACCTTTAAATTTAGGTGGATGTAAGATTTTAAGAAATCAAATGTCTTAGAACTTCACAGCTTAGCCACTGTTATCCATAGTTTCCCTTTCCATGGTTTCCATTCCCCGTGGTCAACCTCGGTATGAAAATATTAAATGGAAAAGTTCCCGAAATAATTCCCAAGTTTGAATTGCACGCTGTTCTGAGTAGCGTGATGGAATCTCGCGAGACCTGCTTGGTCCCCGGGATGTGAATCATCCCTTCCCGCGTCTCCACCGGAACAGCCCTGCTCCTGCCTGTTCATCACCTGGCGGCCGTCCTGGCTGTCGGAGGGCTGACGGTGGTGGGGTGGTGCTCAAGTCGCCCTTATTTTGCTTGTTAGTGGCCCCAAAGCGCAGGTTGGCTGTGAGTAGGCCAAAGAGGAGTGGGAACGTGCTTCCTTTAGGTGAAAAGATGGAAGTTTCAACGTAGTACAGAAACAGCGGTCTGCTGAGGTTGCGAGGACCCCCGGTAAGAACGAATCTCTGAAATACGGTGTTTTGACAGAGACCACATTCACATAACATTTTTTTTTTTTAATCCTCACCGGAGGACATTTTTTTCCATTTTTTGTTCAGATAGAGTGGGAAGGAGAGAGAGAGGAAGAGAGAGAGAGAGAGAAACATTGATGTGAAAGAGACATCAGGTGGTTGCCACCCGCATGACCCAACCAGGGCCGGGGACAAACTGCCACCGAGGTACGTGCCCTCAGCGGGAACCGAACCCAGGTCTCTCTGGACCGCAAGCCAACGCTCTAACCACTGAGCCAAACTGGCCAGGGCCACATAACTTTTATGACAGTATATTGTTAGAACTGTGCTATTATTTGTTGTTAAGCTGTTACTGTGCCTAATTTATACATTCAACTTTATCATGGGCAGGTATGTATAGAAAAAGACATAGTACGCACAGGGTTCAGTACTTTCCATGCTTTTAGACATCCACTGAGAAACTTAGAACATATCTCCCAATTAAAAACAATTTTTTTTTTCCTTTATTGATTTTTACAGAGAGAGGAAGTGAGAGGGAGAGAGAGACAGAAACATCAATGAGAGAACATCGACTGGCCGCCTTCTGCATGCCCCACACTGGAGATTGGGTCCACAACCTGCGCATGTGCTCTGACTGGGAATCCAACCGGTGACCTCTTGATGCATGGGTGGATGCCCAACCACTGAGCCACACCAACCAGACCATATCCCCCAATTTTTTTTTTTTTGTCCTCACCCGAGGACATTTTTTGTTTTTTGTTCAGATAGAGTGGGAGGGAGAGAGAGAGAGAAACATCGGCATGAAAGGGACGCATTGAGTGGTTGCCACCCACACGACCCAACCAGGGCCGGGGACAAACTGCAACTGAGGCACGTGCCCTTAGCGGGAACCGGACCCGGGTCTCTCTGGACCGCAGGCCGATGCTCTAACCGCTGAGCCAAACCGGCCAGGGCCATATCCCCAAATTTAAGAGAGGACTACTGTATTTATTACCTTTTTTTGTGTGTAGTAAGACAATAATTTCTAGATTCAGTTAACATTACACAATTAGTGAGTCTTCTCAGTTTTCCCATTATTTTTTCTAATTACTGCTTCAGGTTCCACTCTTCATCTCCTTTCTAATTTATTCCATTATTCTTTCAACTTCTGAAACATAATTGTGTGATATTTCTAGCCCTTCTTTTTAAACCCAGAGTGTGATTTGTGCTAGATAAAAACTGTAGAAACGTATTTATCAGAGCCCTTCAGACCAAGGTAAGCAGAACATTTGTATGTAAGGACCTTTGAAAACAATTTTTTTATTTTTTTAACACCAAGTGAACTTCACCTGATCCCAAACTCTCAGTAGGATTGGGCTTCTTTTGTGTGTTGGCATGGGTTTGGATTTAAGCACCAACTGAGAAAAGAAAGGTGTGTCACTAGGAGCCAGCTGGGCTCCAAAGCAGGGACCGTTCATTCTGTAGCATTCACCTGTACCTGTATAGTCTACATATAAAACTTTCTCATTCTTCCCTTAAATGTATAATGTTCATATTCACAGATTATTTACTACCAATCTGTTTAATGATGTGGCATGTAAAGACCATTTTTAAATCTAAAGGAGAGATTGGCTTGGCAAACGAAGACCCATTGGTTAAATCTACCTACTTTGGGATGTCCTATGTGCTAGGGATGGTTTTCACATTTCAAATGATTGAGGAAAAGAATATTTTGTGGTGTATGAAAATTATATAAAATTCAAATTTTAGCATCCATATGTAAAGTTTTAACCACACTCACTAGGTTATGTATGTTTTGTTTGTGACTTTTTTTTTTTACTACAATGGCAGAATTGAATAATAGCAACAGAGACTGTTTCTCAGTCTAAAATATTCACTATCTGACTTTTTATAGAAGTGTGCCAACCTCTGATTTAGAGAATTCCACTTTCAATCATGCCATCCTCATTTTACTGTATGTTTATTGGAAGAGGAAAGAGAAATTGGGCACACTGTGATCTCTTGCTCCCCAACATGCAGAGAAAATAATCACAAATGTATTTTTATAACACACATAATTTTTATTTTGAAACAATCTCAAACTTACAGAAAAGTTTGCTGAATTTATAGAACATCTTTATCTTGAACCATTTATAAGTTGCCAGCATGATGCCCCATGATCTTTGAATAATGTGTGATTCTTGCAGACAAGGACATTATCTTTCAACACCTCAGGGCAATCATCAAAATCAGGAAATTACCATGGATACATAAACTACCATTTGATTCACAGACCCCATTCAAGTTTAACCTATTTTTCCAATGTTTCTTATAGAAAAATGTTCTTCTAGTCTAGGATTATTGGTTGTATTTGGTTGTATCTCTTAAGTTTCTTCTATCATGAACAGTCCCTCATCTTTTCTTGGCCTTTATGACATTTAAAGATCACAGGTCAGATAGTTTATAAAATGTCCCTCAGAGTGGGTTTGTCTGGTATTTCCCTGTGGTTAGAATCATATCATTTATCTTTAACAATTAACACAGAACTGCTTCTGTGGTTCTCGCTGTATCCTGTCGGGGACACTTGATGCTGGTTTGTTCCATTACAGTGACACTCACGTTGATTACTTGATTACAGTGATTCCGTCAGGTTTCTCCAGTGAAAAACTGCTTTTTCCCCCTTTGTAATCAGGATTTTGTTGGAAATATCTGTTACTCGTCGAATTTTGACATCTAGTCTCAGCATCCATTGATATTTCTTGGATGAATTAATCATCACACTGATGCTTGCCAAATGAATTTACTTCTCTTTAAAATCCATTAATTAGTAAAGGGGGGATAAATGGTGGTGGAAGGAGACTTGACCTGGGATGGCAAACAATATAATATACAGAAGATGTAATATAGACTTGTACACCTGAAACCTCTATGATTTTATTAACCGATGTCACCCCAATAAGCTCAATAAAATTTTTTTTAGATGCATGAGTTAGCTCTCTACTGTGAAAAAAAGTTTTGTCCTTATTTATTTATTTACTTAAGTATGAGCTAATGGATTCTGATTTTATTCAATTAGCTATAATGTTACTATTATTTTAAAAGTAAACTTTACTTTTGGGGTAATTTAGATTCATGTGCAGTTGTAAAATAATATAAAGAGATCCCTCAACCCTTTAGCCAGTATCCTCCAGTGGTGATAACCTGAAAAACTACAATATGACACACAACCAGGTAATTGATTAAACAATCAAGGTACAGAACAGTTAGCCACAAGGATACCTTCTGTTACACTTTTATAGTCACACTCAATCCTCAATCCTCATACCCAGATCCTGACTCTTAGCAACCACTGATCTTTTCTCCATTTCTTCAATTACATTTTGACCATTTTTTCATACTGAAGCTCCTAAAACTACATTGTAACAATGGTTTTAGAGTGTGGAGCTGATATACTTCATTAGGGAGTGTGTGTGTGTGTGTGTGTGTGTAGTCTGTCTAGAGA